CGAAGAGCGATTTTCAGGTAGATTTATCAATTTTATATAGTTTTATATCATTGACTTCAAATAATTTTAAAAATATTTTTTTGTTCAGGTGGATGGTTACGAGGAGGGGAAACCCGATTGCCTCACATATTCTATGTGGGATGGCCTCCTCAGATATTGGGTGTTGCCAGACTGGATCAGAACATCCAACACAAACTCCGAGAACCGCATGACAAAAGACGAGCATGGAAAGACGAAGATGCTTCACGCCGAGGGTCGAAAACCTCATGCGGGAATCCGTCTAGACATGGTAAATTAATACTTTAATAACTAATTAATATTTTTTTAATCTATTTATATATTTCTAATTAATAACTAACTTTAAAAATTATTTTTAGGCTAAAGAGATATGAGTTCTTCCATCTCTGAAAGACCTTTACGAGAAGACCCACCGGAACAAGGCTGGGCATTTTGTAGATCCTAGATCCGAGCAAATCTACAACGAGGTTGTTGCTCGGGTTGACCACCGCTAGACCCAGCTGACTCAGCAGTCTGGGACACCCGTCATATTATCGACTCCTGAAGTGGATAAGATTTACGAAGAGGTAAATAATTTATTTTCTTATTAATTTTTATTATTTATTTAATTTACTTTTTTAACGTTAACTAACCTATTAATCTTTTTATTTAAAGGTCGCTCATAGGAAAAAGGGACGTATCGTCGGGATTGGTTCCGTTAACGATGTCCCCACAGTGACATCGTTTTATGCTCAGGAACAGCACGATGTCACTACTCAGCTGCGCTCAGAGTTGCAGACGACGCAATCTCATGTGAGTTCTCTCTACGAGATCATGGACGTTTTGGCGGTTGGAGACCCACAATTGGCAGAGATGTTGCGTGTCAGACGGGAAAACGGAGGGCTTCCAACCCAACATCCACCGTCACAGTCATAACCGATGACCAACCTGGACGAGGAGGAGTTGGCTAGCCGGGATGACGACTTCGTTCGTCAATTTAACGAGCACCCTCCGTAGTTTAGTTTTTTTTTTCTTTTTAATTGTTTTATGAATTTAAAAATTAAATATTTAGTTATTTATAAAATAATTTGTTACTTCTTTTTTTTATTTATAATTTGTATTCTTTAATTTTTAAAAATTTATTATTTATATTTATTTTAATTATTATTTTTTTAATAGGGAAAAAACATTTCGAAGTAAATTCCTCGTAAAGCATTACGACGCGATTACGAGGAAAAGGGTTACGACGACATTATGAGGATTTGGTTTCGAGGCTTTTACAAGGAAAACTGTACGAGGACTTTACGAAGAAATATGTCTCCACGCTTTTACGAGGAAATGTTTCCTCGTAAATTTACTAGGAAATTACGAGGACAAAGGCTTTACGATGAACGTTTTACGACAAAACGCCTTTCGTCGTACTTTCCTAGTAAATGCCCCTTTACTAGGAAATTACGAGGAAAAGCCGTCCTAGCAAAACTTGTGTTTTTTGTAGTGTATATGCAAAATCCCCATAGAAATAGAGGTGTCTAGTTTGACTCAATTGAGGATTCTTCGTTTGTGGAGTAAGATTGTTGTCTTTCTTTGCTGATGTCGTCATGCAACAATGGTGATTTTTTATGTTCTGCAAAACAAGTCCTCCAACTTTTAGATATTCTCGAGTTGGTCCTGATATTTCTAAGTATACAAATAGTTTTTTGGACATTTCATTTGGCCAATCTATCATAAAAATTCTGATTATTCACGAAAAACCATTCTTTTTTTCAAAAATGAGTGTTTTACTCTCTCATCCTCATCTTCATCAATTAATCACTAAAATTTCATTGTCATCAATTAACCCAACAACCATGAACAACCAAAATGAAGCTCTTAATGCATCTAAAAATAAAATTTACTCATTCATTCTTATATCTTATGCCATAAACTACATTTTTCTCATTTCTAACTATATTCATCCAAAAATTCCAAGCTTCTTGATTCTAAATTTTTTAAGGGTCATATAGTCATTCAAACTCACAATTTCTGGTCACTAACGATTGAGTAGCTGTTCTGGTGAAGTTGTGTGTGCTTGAAGAACTAAGCAAGTTCTTACATGGGTTGAAGGTATGAATTGGATTTTTCCCCCATATTTGTTCGCTAGAAGACTTAGGTGTAGGTAATCTCATTCGAGAAGAATTCCACAAAAGTCTTCTGGTCAAAGAATATGATATCTTTGCAATTGACTTTCTGTGTGCTTTTTAGAGAAGACTGTCATGGAAGTTTTTCAATTTTATTTGTTGGCAAAAAAAAATCGAGAAAACTTATTTGGAAGTCATCTCGGATAAACATGTTAGTTTTGCAACTGACCAATATGTGTTATAAGTTTAACTTTCTACAGAAGATTCACTTGGAAGTCTTCTCAACCTTTACATCAAGTCTACTGAAGTCTGTGTAGGTTACTTTTGCAATTAAAAATTTGAACTGAAAACATTTAATTTAAATTGGGATAATTTCAGCTAGGTCTTCCGCCTGAAGACTTACTTGGAAGTCTTCCATATAAGTCTTCTGCCGGAAGACTTTACTGGGAAGTCTTCCAGATTTTTATTATGTGATTCTTGTCAAATCTAAGGTAATCAAAGAAGACTTACCTGTAAGTCTTCTGGCCGAAAGCTTACGTGAAAGTTTTCTCAACAAAAGTCAAATATAGTAAATTGCAAAAGTAACATACGCAGACTTACTTCGATAGCAGTAGACTTAATGTAAATTTTGAGAAGACTTTAAGGTAAGTCTTCCCGGAAGACTTATGTGGAAGTCTTCCATAGAAAGTCAAATTTCTGACACATATTGGTCAATTGCAAAACTCTTTTTTTATTCGAAAAGACTTCCAGGTAAATTTTCTCATGTATTTTCGAAAATTTTTGTAGTACAAAAGTAAGTCAATATTTACAAAGGAAGTCTTCGAGAGGAGACTCCTCGGAAAGTCTTTATTTGAAAATTTTCAATTGAAAAAATGACATAAATGGAAGACTTACCTGGAAGTCTTTTGCCAGAAGACTTACCTTGAAGTCTTTTGCCAGAAGACTTACCTGAAAGTTTTCTCCCGAAAGACTTCTAGGTAAGAGATCATAGGAGATTTCTCTGGAAATCTTTCTTTGTAAATTTTGAATTGCAAAAATGAACTAAATTGAAGACTTACAAGGAAGTCTTCTACGACGATGTATATTATTTTATAGTAATATTTGTTCTTTGATATTACGAAAATAGTAAATTAAAATATATTATTTTATAATAAAATTTTAATAATTTTATGCATATAAACTATAGATATATCAAAACAAATTAAACTAAAAATTTAAATATTAAAAATTTTGAGAATATATTTGTTTTGTAAAATATATATGAACGAGATTCAAAATATTATCTTTATATTCCTTTATATTATTTTTAATAGTCCACATTTTAGTATATTTTGTCTATTTGATTCTTACAAAAATATGTTATGTTATACCAAATCCCAATAAAATATATTTATATATATTTAAGAGAAAAACTAATCTAAATTTAAAATAAAAATTACCAAAATATTAATATATCTAGAGAAACAAAATATTGTGATTTGAATTCAAAGAAGCATATGCAACCTAATATACTTAAGTGATAATTAAACTGACTTGTTCTGACATATATAAAATCATATGTCTAATTCAAAATACAAGATTATTAATATAAATTATAAAATTATTCAAATTGATATTAAAAAATTAATCAGTTATTATAATATATTTATATAAAATGTATATTTATGCATGAGTAAGGAAGAATCACTTAGTAGTATAAATTATACTGTATAATATTATTTGAGAAAACACTTTCCTACATAGAGTACCCATGATACTTTTTACAACAATCAATTACATAGATATCATTAATGAAATAAATATATTATATATAGTTACAATTATCAAAAACTGATTTCCTTGTCTTTTTGTTAAATTTGAAGTTAAATATAAAATTTAAGTTTTCTTTTTATTTACATATTAACAAAATAGTTATTTGATAAAAAGGAAATATTTATTAAATTTAAAAAGTAATTACCTTAGAAATAAGTGTTTTATTAAAAAAAATATTCATAAAATAAATAATGTAATTTACTATATATTTTTATTAGTTTTCCTCAACCAGATATGTAAAAATATGAATATGTCGAGACAAATCTAAATTATTATATTTTGGTTAAATAATAGGTTGTGCCATTTTACGCACTAAAATTATATATCTCTGAATCAATAAAAAAATAAACGTACAGAATTTAATTGATTTCCAAAAATTCAGATCCATGTGTGAAATTTTATGTTACTATCGGTTAATTTAGTTTATACATCTTTGAGTCAATCATCACTTTGGTTTTTGTTAATTTCTTTCGGAAACAGAAATAAAATAATTACAAAAATATAATACACATTTAGGATGATCAAATATATTTTTTCAGTTTGGAGGAAAATTAGTAACTTCATATACCCCAAAAATTCACAAAAGAAGTAACATAACCAATCTAGATTTATATTAAAACATAGGTTTAATTAATTAAATAACCATATGTTACTACTTGTATTAATATTTCATTTATTTTTATACATTGAAATTACATATTGATCCAAACCTTATAAATTAGTATCTATAATAATTATTCAATTCGTATACATATAAATAAGCGAATGATTTAAACTTATAAATAAATTAAAATCAAATATTAACCAGCTATTATATGAGTTAGTTCCTTTGAAAATTATAAATGAGCATGATATTCCAAAAGATTATTAGTAACATTCGCTTATGTAACTACGAATCCATCTTTAATTTTCAAAAAGATTATGAGTAACATTCGGATAGTCAGTCACCTAGTAATGGTTACTCATAGAAATTATGGTTTCTTTCATATGATCAAATAGCTTACAGTTATACCCACCACAAAGGCTAAAACACACGTAGTATACGAAAGTGAAACACACAAGCGCAACGTTATTTCAGCTCCAATGAAGAAAATTCGAAGGAACAACAACTTGCTCTTCTTGTACAAAGAGGTCATCTGGATTCCTTAGGACGGCATGTACCAAGCAAAGCAAGGCACCTGCCACGATCCCAAGAACCAGACTCAAGAAGCAATGCGTGAGCCACAACGCCCAGAAGGAGCCAACGATCAATCCAAAGAAGATCACTCGGTCACTAACATGTCGACCGTACAAAACCAAAGGATGGTCCCTACAAAAGCATAACAGCAACCACATGACAGCAAAAGAAGCAATGATGAGAAGAGCCGTCGGATCACCTATCAAGAAGAGTGCGGCCGAAACCGCGGCCACGAGAGAGTAGTTAACCAAAAAATGGTGGAGGTTGAGTTTCGAACGCGAGACGGCTGAAGAGAAAGAGGTAGGACGGTCCATAGAACCTAATGCTAGTAACTCCAACCATGGACGGTGACTAGAAACAAATGCTATTAGATTTTGCACCGATAGAGAGATAACTTCTCCGAACGAAAGATGCGTCTCTTCCTCCGTGACTGGAAGATTCTCCACCGGTGATAGCATCGTCGGACGCTGCTTTTGAGTTCTCAGGTCAACCAACCAAAAGACCGAAATTAAACAAACGTTTATGTATTAGCCAAAACAACAGTTGGTGGCACGTCGATAATATTATGGGCCACTTTCATTAACGGGCCCAGAAACTCGGGTCGGATCTTCTTTAAAATTGTTAACCCGGTTCGGGGAATCTCCTCTTCTGTTCTGTAAGAAACAGCCAGAACCAGACGACCGAGTAGAACTGGATTCAGTTTGCCTAATTTACCTTTCTACCCCTCGATTTCAGGTAACTCTCTTCTTCGTAAGCGTCTAATTGAGATGGGATTCGTAGAAAATTAGATTGGATTAAGCTTTTGATATGAACTCTTTAACTCATTCGGGCACAAGTGTTGTCCGTAAAGCTTCTCGCTTTCTTCTAACCTCAAGGAGATTCAGCGATTCTACTCGCATCAATGCCGATGAAACCGATAATTGTTTGCCTCCTCCTGTAGAAGAGACATTGAAGATAACATGGGAAACTTCGGAGATGGATTGTGGGTTCACCGAGGAACATGAGAAAGTCTCTGTTAGGAAGAGGTTTCTAGAGAGTACTAAGCTCAGTGCGTCTCAAGTTCTCGATACTTTACAGCAAGATTGTCCAGGTTTCAATACAAAATCAGCTTTAGATGAGTTGAATGTTCAAATCTCAGGGCTTTTAGTGAGAGAGGTTCTCGTTGGGATCTTGAGGAGACTTAGCTTTGATAACAAGACAAGGTGTGCTAAGCTAGCTTACAAGTTCTTTGTTTGGTGTGGTGAGCAAGAGTCTTTCAAGCACACGGCTAACTGCTATCATCTACTTATGAAGATATTTGCGGAGTGTGGCGAGTATAAAGCCATGTGCAGGCTTGTCGACGAGATGATTAAAGACGGTTACCCGACAACGGCTAGGACGTTTAATCTCTTGATATGCACTTGCGGTGAAGCAGGTCTTGTAAGAGAAGTCGTGGAGCAGTTCATCAAATCGAAAACATTCAACTACAGACCTTTCAAACACTCTTACAACGCCATCTTACACTCGTTGCTAGGTGTGAAACAGTACAAGCTGATCGAGTGGGTGTACGAGCAGATGTTAGAACACGGGTTCTCACCGGATATTCTGAGTTATAACGTTGTAATGTTTGCAAGCTTTAGGTTAGGTAAAACAGATAAGCTTTATAGATTGCTTGATGAGATGGTTAAAGACGGGTTTTCTCCGGATCTGCACACATACAACATCCTCCTCCACCATCTTGCAACAGGGAATAAGCCTCTCGCGGCTTTGAACTTACTGAACCATATGAGGGAAGTAGGAGTAGAGCCGAGTGTGATCCATTTCACTACTCTGATAGATGGGCTGAGCCGAGCCGGGAAGTTAGAAGCTTGCAAGTACTTTATGGACGAGATGGTGAAAGCTGGGTGTACACCAGATGTTGTATGCTACACTGTTGTGATCACAGGGTATATATCAGGTGGGGAGTTAGAGAAAGCTGAGGAGATGTTCAGGGAGATGACGGTGAAGGGGCAGCTTCCGAATGTTTTCACTTACAACTCCATGATCCGTGGGTTTTGTATGGCTGGGAAGTTTAAAGAGGCACGGTCGTTGCTCAAGGAGATGGAGTCGAGAGGGTGTAACCCTAACTTTGTGGTGTATAGTACACTGGTGAATAATTTGAGGAACGCAGGGAAGCTTGTAGAGGCTCATGAGGTTGTTAAGGATATGGTGGAGAAAGGGCATTATGTTCATCTTATTTCAAAGTTTAAAAAATATACAAGATCATAGTGTTTGTTTCAAAAGTCAGTTTTTGTGGTAACTAATAACTGTAAAAACAAATATAGCTGTTCTCGTTTTACTAGGCTATTATCCCTTTCTCAAACATGTTTTAACATCGCAGTGTTCTATAAGCTATAGGGTATAGTTTCACTTTCAAGACAGTGAAATAGCCAAACAAACTAAAAAAAGCAAAAAAGTCGTCGACAGCAGGGTTCGAACCTGCGCGGGCGAAGCCCAACAGATTTCAAGTCTGTCTCCTTAACCACTCGGACATATCGACTTACTGTTTCAAACTGAACATGTATATAAATAAATCTGTTTATTAGAATAACAAACAAAGGCCCAATAACGGCCCATAAGCGCTGACTTGGATGATTGGATCCTCTACCTAACAACTGAGGCTTTCTCTAACGACGAATGCCGCGTGTTTCGTCATCAAGACGGTAAATCTGAAATCCGATTCGAATCTGAAGACAACCGGCGAAGAATCTCAGAGTCGTAGATCATTCATTATACACTCAAAAGAGTTTTCATATCATCACGCCGAGTGGGGACGATGTGTTGGTAACTAAGACTACTAATTAAATATGTCATCGGGAGGAGCCGAGGACAGGCATCTGTTACGACCCACCGACGGCGACGAAGCCAACATTCGCGGAGGAGACGGCGATCTCGATGTCGAATCTCAGTCTCCGGCTATCAGAAACTCCACCGGAGGAGTTAGAGATCTCTTCAAACACCTGGATCGGAGATTCTCCCTCTCCGGTCGTCGTATAAGCTTGAAACGGTTAGAGAACGTCAGAGTCGATAGAGATCACCACCATCCTTCCTCTTCTTCTCCGCTCTCTTCTGGTGTGATCGCCGGAGAAGAAGATGATGGCGGCGTCATCGATGATGATCGTGATTACCGGAATGACGACGAGTATGGTTTCGATGAAGGTAACGACGTGTTGGGAGATAGCGCTCCACCTGAATGGGCTCTCCTTCTTATTGGTTGTCTTATCGGTGTCGCCGCTGGAATTTGCGTCGCAGGTTTCAACAAAGGGGTACGTACCTTATAACCAATTGGTTTTAGATCCTTCTCAGATCTCGATCTATAAGATAGATAGGCCACTCCACTTATAACCAATTGGTTTTAGATTGGAAGTTCATCTAACTAACACGATCTATTAATGTTCGGAATGTATCCTAAACAATATATAAGATAGATAGGCCACTCCACTTATAACCAATTGGTTTTTGGTTTTAGGTTGGAAGTCCATCTGACTTAATACGATCTAATTTGAATTTTAATTGATACAAACAGAGTAGTGTTTTTATTGTCTAGGTTCATGTGATTCATGAATGGGCATGGGCTGGGACTCCAAACGAGGGTGCTGCTTGGCTTCGACTACAGAGACTAGCTGATACTTGGCATCGGATTCTTTTGATTCCTGTCACTGGGGGTGTTATAGTAGGGATGATGCATGGTTTGCTTGAGATCTTGGATCAAATCAGGCAGTCCACTTCTTCTCAAAGACAAGGAGTTGATTTACTCGCTGGTATTTTTCCGGTGATTAAAGCTATTCAGGCTGCTGTGACTCTTGGTACTGGTTGTTCACTGGGTCCTGAGGGACCTAGCGTCGACATTGGAAAGTCATGTGCCAATGGTTTTGCGCTGATGATGGAGAACAACAGAGAGAGGAGAATAGCTCTCACTGCAGCTGGTGCGGCTTCTGGGATTGCATCTGGTATAGTCTAGTCTCTACTTCTTCTAAAATTGCTTACGGTCTCGTCTATGATTGATAGTTATGTATTACTGGATTTTCAATGCACGGAACAGCTGCATAGCTCATCCACTCTAGTATATTGCCACTTAACATTAGCTTTAACGAAATGAGTTCGTTCGATAATTGTTCCTGGAAACGTTTTGACTTATTCAATCTGTATGGCCATTCGTTCTTTTAGCTCACTCTTTTTGTTCCATAATTTTTATGTACTATGTAGCCTACATTTGTGTCTATGAATCTTAGGTTCTAGCGCTAGACAAATCATTTTGCTTCAGTTTTGTATTGTTGGATTGTCAAGGCATGGAATAGCAGCATAGCTTACTCAATCTAGTATATTGCCATTTAACATTAGCTTTATCCGGCTGAGTTTGATTGATAAATGGGCGTTCTAGGTTCCTGGACTCGTTTTGGCTTAATCAGGCTGTATGGACCTTCTTTCTTTTACTCACCTTCTTCGTTCCAGAATGTTGTATTTACTTTGTTAGCCTACAAATGTGTCTTTGAACCTTCGGCTCTAGCACTAGACAAAGCATTTTACTGGTCTTATTTAATGAAAAGTAGTTACTTGAATTTGATATTAGATTTATCAGTTATGTGTAATGGTGTTTCTTACTATATCTGAAAGAACTGAGAGAGGCACTGCAGTTATTCCCAATAGGGAACTTAATTTGCTGCACTTTCGATCAAGGCTATAAATCTGATTTATGCCCTATTTATTTGTGGTTACAGGTTTCAATGCAGCGGTAGCCGGTTGTTTCTTTGCTATTGAGACTGTTCTAAGACCTCTACGTGCCGAGAACTCGCCTCCATTTACCACTGCAATGATAATTTTGGCCTCTGTTATATCATCGACTGTGTCAAATGCCTTGCTTGGGACTCAATCAGCTTTCACAGTCCCCTCGTACGACTTGAAGTCCGCTGCAGGTATATTTCTTTTACTTTTAAGCTCAATTGCAAAATTTTCAGTTAGTCTTGTGGTATAATATTTGTGGTAGCTTAGAATTTGGTGTCCTGATGGATAGGTGATTATCATATCATAAGTCATAAATGATCTTGGTATCTTTAAATTACAAAGGCCGATATTTAATTGAATCAGCTTGCAGCTGCTTATAAGTTTCCCACCATGTTTTCACTTGTCTCCAGAGCTCCCTCTGTACCTGATACTAGGCATGCTGTGCGGTGCTGTCAGCGTTGTTTTTTCTCGCCTGGTCACATGGTTTACCAAGTCATTCGAGTTCATCAAAGAAAAATTTGGTCTTCCTGCTATAGTGTGCCCTGCATTAGGGGGTTTAGGAGCTGGGATGATTGCTCTAAAGTACCCCGGAATTTTGTACTGGGGGTTTACAAATGTTGAAGAAATCCTGCATACTGGAAAGAGTGCTTCAGCTCCTGGAATTTGGCTATTAGCTCAGTTAGCCGCAGCCAAAGTTGTGGCCACAGCTTTGTGCAAAGGCTCTGGGCTTGTAGGTGGTCTATATGCACCAAGTTTGATGATTGGTGCTGCTGTTGGTGCTGTGTTTGGAGGCTCGGCTGCTGAGATTATTAACAGAGCTATTCCTGGTAATGCTGCTGTGGCCCAACCGCAAGCTTACGCTCTGGTATTGCATTCCCTTACTTCAATAAAGCTTTTTCTAACTTTTAAAAATGCCCAACTCGGTTTTTACTAATTGTGACTCATCAAGATACCCTCGTTTTATGTGATGCAGGTTGGTATGGCAGCGACACTAGCTTCCATGTGCTCAGTCCCCTTAACATCAGTATTACTGCTGTTCGAGCTAACAAAAGATTATAGAATTTTGCTTCCCCTCATGGTAAACATACGTTTTCACTTTCAGCTTTCTCTCTGGTGCTTATGTAAGACGCCGGAAAACCCCTTAAAAAGGGGGGGGGGTTCATGAAATTCTTCCCGAAGTGGCTCTTTAACTGATCGAGCAGTAAAAGCCCCTCTTGAAACTATGAAATGAACCAGCTATCCTGTTCGCTATAATAGTATTGTTTTTTTATCGGAGATCAATTTTTTATCATGTTTGTTCTATCAGGGGGAGGTTGGGTTAGCAATTGTTCTTGATCTGACCTGATCTGATCTGATCTATCTGTGGGTTTCTTCTATCAGGGGGCGGTTGGGTTAGCAATATGGGTTCCCTCTGTAGCAAACCAAGGCAAAGAGAGTGATTCATCCGAGGGTCGCAGCACAGGAAGAGGATACTCTTCTCTTTCACCTTCCGATCGTAAAACTACTGAAGGAGCTTGGAGACACACGGATAATACTAACTCCCTTGAGCTTTCCGTCATAGAAAACCCTGACCACAAAGCTTTCTTGGATGAAGAAACTATTCTGGAAGAGTTAAAGGTATTTCGTGTTATGTCAAAGAACTACGTGAAGGTTTCTCTGGGAACAAGTCTAAGAGAAGCAAGAAAGATCCTCAAAGACAGCCACCAGAACTGCCTTATGGTGGTCGATGAGGATGAGTTTCTAGCCGGAATCCTAACACAGGGAGACATCAGACGTTACTTGTCTAGTAAGGTCTCTACAATATTAGATGTAAGTAGTGAAACGTAACAAACTCCCACTTTCTTTCTTTTTATTTTTCTTTTTGTTTTTCGAAGTTGAGTTCAATGGACTCTTTTATATCTTGCAGGAGAACACATGTCCTGTCTCTTCTGTATGTACTAAGAAAATAACCTACCGAGGCCAAGAACGTGGTTTGCTAACTTGTTATCCCGACGCGACGGTTGGAGTGGCTAAAGAGTTGATGGAGGCAAGAGGTGTGAAGCAATTACCTATCGTTAAACGAGGTGAAGTAAGTCACAAAGGGAAGAAAAAGAAAGTGCTTGGCCTTCTTCATTATGACTCCATCTGGTCTTTTCTCAGGTATTTAAGAAGAAGAAAAAAACCCATAAAAGAACTGTTTGAAACAATGTAAATTTCAAAATCAAATTTATCTTTTTGTTGTTGTGGCTTGCAGAGATGAAATGAGTCGTAGGAGATCTATGATCAACGAGCGGAGAAAAGACAAGTACGAGGAGTTTGGTGCGGCAAATGGCCATTGATTTTGGAGGTTTATGACCATTTGGTAAAGCTTTTTCCTCTTCTTTTCAATTTTGATGTCCAAATGATTAGAATGGAGGAAAGCATACTCGTGTAATAAGACCTCTTTATTTAGTTTGTATCGTTCTCGCCAAAGTAACACTCTTTATCATATAGTAATCAAAGAGAAATCGAGTGTAACATATATACGACATGTGTTGGGTGATCTCTACTTTACCAATTTGCATCATTAGGTTTTAGCAAACCTTGTGATATTCAGAATCGGCAATATTATAAATCAAAATGACTTTGTATAGTTTCTCTGTGATTCATCGTGTAGGTTTATTTTGACCATTAATTATTAAGTTGCTTTTTAGTATTTTGCATATGAGCGTCATGTACAACTGTTAAAGTAAAAGTTGGGAATTTTAAAGCTTTTTTGAAAAATCTTGATGCCTAAATAGTATCAGGCTGAGGCATTTGTCCCGCATCCGAAGAACTGACCCAAAAAAACTGTTTGTGTTGAGCATGGAGAGGGTTCAATATGGTAATAAAGTACCAAACCGAACTGATATAGTGGTTTGGATTTGATATATATCATATAAACCGAATGGATATGATTTATAAAAATCTTAAAATTTGGATATGGTTAGGATTATAATCAATTAAGCCAATTAAACCGAATAAAACCGGTCAAAGTAAAAACATATAAATATATACAACTGATATTATATTAATAATTAATATCATATACTCTTTTATATTAAAGAAATTTGAAAACACTTAAACAATAAAAAAAATAATTATTTACCAAAACCCAAATGAAAGTTATAAACATATCTTGAAGTTATTAAATACTATTTAAAATACAAATTTTATAAAAACGAAAGTATAAGACTTCCACATAGGTCTTCTCAAACTTCTTAAGTCTTCGCTCATTAACTAGACACATTAATAAACATGAATGTTTGTAACATCATAATTATTTCAGTTTAACTTATGAATTTTATTTAGGAGCCCCAATATTGACTAACATACATGAATTAGCAAGAAAATATTGAAAAATCTTCTTATTTTTAGAAAAAAAAATGAAAGCTATTAAACATTGACATAGAAGACTTCCATGAAATTCTACAGTAGTCTACTTGAAGTAGACTTCTACGGAAGTCTTCCATTTAAGTCATTTTTGGAAATTGCAAATTTCAAAATTCTCGAAAATACCAGAGCATACTTTCTTGGAAGTCTTCTCGGATAAATAAGTTTATTTTGCAATTGACCAAATTGTGTAAAAAAATTGACTTTCTACGGAATACCTCTCTGGAAGACTTCCAAGAAAATATTCTTAATTGTTACATGAAATCTGCTCACGTTCGGTGGAAGTCTGCCTAGGTTACTTTTTCAATTAACTATACTTGATTTTTTCAGAGAAGATTTACGAGCAAGTCTTCTTAATAACCAAAGGGTTAACCAGAATCCTCGAATAAAAATTGGATGTCTTCTGGCGGAAGACTTTTCTGGAAGCCTACTAATTAAAATTAAATGTTTTATTTTAAATTGTCAATTGAAAAACTAACCTACACATACTTCCCCTGAAAGTGAGCAGAATTCATGTAACATGAGAAGACTTCCATGAAAGTCTTCTATGGAAAGTCAAATTTCTGACACAATTCAATCAATTGCAAAACTAACATGTTTATCCGAGAAGACTTTCAAGGAAGTCTACTCGTTTTTTGTTGTTAACAAAGAAAAGTTAGAAGACTTCCAGAGAAGTCTTATCTAAAAAAGACACAGAAAGTCAACTGTAAAACTAACATTAACACATGAAGTCTTCTGCGTGAAACATATCTGAAAAAATAAAAGATCATTCTTAGATCCAGTGAGGTTCATGTTTATTTTTTCTAAACACATGACTTCTCAACTAAAGTTACCCACTCATTATTGATCAAGTATCATAAACATGAGTAATTCTAACAAGCTTACAAATTTTGAAAAAAAAAAAATTGAGAGTATGGGATGAAATAAGAGAGGAAGTTAAAGAAAAATGATTTGTGTGTATAAGAAATATGAATATGAATATGTAGATATGGTTTACGTGCATTTAGAGTTTGAAATTGGTTGTTGGTGGTTGGTGTAGTGAATACAATTTCAATGTTGTAAATAAAAAAATAAGATGAAGATGATTGAGTAAAACATGCAATTTCGAAAATAATAATTATAATAATAATAATGACATGTTCGTGAATAATTCGAAATTCTGAAGTGAGAAGAACAAATGAATTTTTTTTAAAAAAATCATGGATTACTTTTACATTTGATATTTTTTTGTTTTGAGTCATATTTTCAAAACTCCCCTTTTTAATAATGATAAAATATATTATTTCTACCTCATTAAAAGTAAATAATGTTATTCTATTTAAAAATATTTTGTAATTATTTGATGAAAATATACTTATTATAAAATCTTATTTTTATAATCATTTTTAATATCTATTAAAAGTAAGCATTAACGTTTTTGTGGTTGTTTTTGAAAAATCATAGTATATAAGAAAAATAATTTATAGATATTTTTATAATTGTAGGATATTTTTACTCAATTAAACATACATCAGTTAATGTTACTTAATTATTTTATATGATCATCTAAGAGAATTGGTAGATATAAAGAAAAGATTTCTATTACTTTGAATATATATATATATATATATATGTGTGTGTATATATATATTATTTTTACAATTACGTTTTAAAGGAAATAATTCTTTTTAATATCATTATTATCTTTGTGAACTTTTTTATGACCTCACATTATATATAATTATATTTTTATTTTCATCTAAAAAAAAGATAAAATACTTTTGATTTTAAAAAAAAATATAGATAAGAAGTATTTTATTACTTGAAATTATATTTTATGCTGTTCAAAAATATGTTTTAAGGTGAACTTACTATTTTGTGAACTTTCCTTTTAAATGAAATCATAATATTGATACATATATTTTGTTTTCTAAATTTGTTTTTATACTTAATCAATTTTTTATTTTCATTATATATCTTATTTTGAAAAAGTAAAAAAAATAAACTAAATTAACAATCTAACTAACAGAAATTACGAGATAAAAAGTTAATAACAATATTTAAATATACTGTTTTAAATTCATTAAATGGTATTTATAATTAATTATTACAAAATTTAACATGAACATGACACACGTAAGAAAACGACTTTTCAAATGATATCAGAGATTTGTCTAATTCAATCAAAATTAATCATTTTAGGAAAAGAGAATCTGGGTGATTTTTTGGCTGACAAAAAGAAAATTGATTTCCGTTGTTCTTTAAAGCTTTTTTGTGTTAGAAATTTTTGAATGTAGTCAAATTTCCGTTTGTGCAATAAATTATTTTGACCAAATGCACTAAAGAGTTCAATATATTCTATGAATTTCAGCAAGTATCTATAAAGAAGAAATATTCAAAGTATACAAAAATGCTAATAGTTTATTGCTTTTAGTCTTAAAAACTCAAGTTTACACCATCTTTTATTTTTACTAGATCTTTTGGCCGCGCTATGCGCGGCTAATCTCTTAAACAAAATTTTGAATTATATTGTTTATATATATATATAATATATTGTATAATTAAAATTTTAAATTAAAACAAAGAAAAGAAAAAGATAACGATTGAAAGTTTTTTTTAAAAATAATTTATTTAAATAGATATCAAAACAATACATGTTCTTGTGAAAGTTTTTTTTTTAACAAAATTGCATTTTTAACTTGAATTTGAAAAAAAATCAGGGTTTAATATCAAAATGAACCATCGGTTTAGCAAGTGATCAATTCTTAAACCGAATTTATTGGTTTTTAGCACAACTCAAAATTATTTAGAAGAGAAAGAGAGAGAGAGAGAGTCATGATCCAACCAGCCGATCTGTTTTTTAAAACACTTCTTATCAGACATCATCACTTTTAATAACAAACAACAAAATCATTTTAGTAGACATATTTTTATTATAAAATTAAGTCAAAAACCATATACAGTACATATTTAACTGGAGTTGTTATTTATTTTTAACCATTTTAAAAAATAATTGTTAGCTTAAATTTTCACGAATGGTAACTGATGAACCATCCCGCACCGCAGTTAACAATAACAAAAATCTCTGCATATACCGTATATATCTATACATTTTTATAACTTTTAAATTCACACCGCAGTTAAACCGCTTATCCTGCACCGCTAACCCTCTATTACCATTCGGAGCCTTAATATCACTTGGGATGAACGATATCAACCAATTTATTCGTTTAAATTATTTAATTAAATATAAAAATGTGTATTGTGGTGTCAATAAAACTTTAACGTTACAACAAAGTTCACTGTTTCTACCTGAGGAAAATAATAAAGGCTTCCGAAACAAATCAAACTTACAGATGTAAAGAGACTCAGAGCAAATGTGTTTTTGTTTTTGTTTCTCTTCTCGTGAGTGATATTCTAAAATTATAGTACAACAACAGATTATGAGTGTCCCAAAAGAACCCTCATCAATCAAACTCACATCTTTTCTTGCTTGCGTACAAAATGGTTTTGACTCACACTTGTCACTGTGAGTTGCTAATCTCACCAGCTAGCTCAGCCTCAAGAATTGACTCCTGCAACAACAATGTTATCGAGAATGCATGTTATCTTAAAGGGAAATTCAATCAATATAGTGAATGAAAAAAAATGATGATGTTGCTCACATCAATCTTATTTATTGGCAGATTATGTGTTGCCGCTGGAGGAGGAGGAGGGGCTTTGGATAAGTCTCTAAGAACCCCCTGAAATTATCTAAGACAAATGTTACTGTTTGGTTTTTATATTTAGTAAGTAGGGAATATAATAGACTGATCAATGAGACAACCAAGTACTGTTAGAAGAAAATGAATAATGAACGTGTTATTAGCTTATTACCTTGTTTTCCCACATTAGTCCACATGCATTACAAAGTGTTCTTGGTCCTTCAGGTCCACGTTGCATCATTGGAGTTGACTTCTCACTGATCCACAGTGCCGACATCTTTTCACATGTTCACAACCGTTCAAAGATGATAAAAGATCAGAGATGAGCTTGTTTATCAAGTACACCAAACTATAAATATCTTCACCATCTATACAAAACTTGAAAAGTGACAACATAGCGGGTCTCAATTACTGTATCCTAAAATTTGTTAGTTCCAGGGTTATATGTGATGCCTTAAGATGATAAGACAAACTTTCAGAGTTGAAGTAACCCACTAACATCTGCTAAGTTTAATATAATAATCTCTGTAAAAGTATAAAAGCATATTGTTCAACTTACAAAGCCTCTGGCTTCTGAGACTCAGTCCCATCCAAGGCCCAGCTTTGGCTTGGCCCCCAATCCGATCCATTGGATGCAGAATCCTCATTGCTTGACTTGGTAGATGTGAACTGACCTTTTTTACGCTGCATTCTGCAACCAGAAAAATGAAACCCTTTTAAATCTCAAAACCAACACAATTGTTGATTTTGGACATACAAAAATAAGTACTTTTACCTCAATTCCACCTCCTTCCTGACAGTGTAGCGAATAGTCTTATCACAGTACCAATGTCGAGACCCATGAACCCGGATCCACAATTCCAGAGATTGATATCATCTCTGATTCCACACCAGATAAACAACAAAACCCATAGTAGGATCATCATAATCAATTCATTATTACCATAAAGGTACGAACTTGTTAAAAAAATTCACATCGTACAAACTGGGTTATCTCGTGGCGGTCTTGGGCGGCGGCATAATGGAGGGGAGAGTTACAATTTTTTTTGCTATTCTCCTTGTTTGAAAGGAAAAATAGCAATTCCACATCATCTGATTGAGCAAATATTATATTATTGATTTTCAAAACCATATTACTGGAGACAGATTCCAATAAAATGGAAGGCTTCCAAAACTAAAAACTCACCTATGAGAAAAGACGACCGAAGTCATAACTGACATGGAAACCGGACTTTAAGATTATGTAGCTCTCTTTCCTTCCTCCTCGGCCCATAATCTGAGAAAATAACAAAAGAGGATTCAGACAAGCAGTTATGGAAAGATTGAAACTCATACGTTTGAGATCCGAATGCAAATAGTTTCTTTTGAAATAAAACATGATATAGTTGAGACTGCATAAGTGGCACCTAGCCATGGACAGAGATTTACGATCCCCTCCAGTTCATACTGACACTCCGAAGTGTTTTGAAGGGTGACTTGGTCGTCAGATAACAAAAACAACAAAATATGGCAATGATCAAATAGTTGTGTCTGCCTTAAGACTCATCACTAAGATGAAATTAGGAACCGACCTTTCAACACACTGTACCCAGCTTCCAAACCAGCTCATCGTCAACACATTCTAAATCTATCATGACATCCTGCAAAGTTTGAAAACCAAATTTTCAGTAACTATATAGTATTTAGCTTCAAGAAACAATTGTAACGGTCAAAGAAACTTACGAGTATGAACTTCTTCGTTTGATATAAGATTTCCCATTCAATTTGAGAAATAATGGGAGTGAAATCCAATTTGATTTTAAGAGCTTTGATAGCAGAAAGAACTTCTTCGTTTCCAGACGCAATAAACAGTCTTAGAACTTTCTCATTCAATTTCCCAGCGTTCATTGTCCTCTTTCCATCATGAGACACAAAAACCGAGCAAAAGAGAATCAGATTCATTAACTGAGATTGATTAAAATCCATCCAGACAACAAAAGACATCATCAAACAACTGTTCCTCCTAAAACCATAAATAAAAGATTTCACTGATAACTTCCCCCGAAAGATTTCGAAAAACCCAGACTAATTAAAAAAGGGAGGGTTGAGATTATTCACCTTGAAGATCTCAAGGACGATGTGATCATGGAGATGCACGAGATCGTTGATGCAAGAGAGGACCAAGACGGCGGCGTTGACAGTGAGGGAGAGCAGAGACGGAGGAGGTTTCTTATTCAATCAGAAGAGGCTCCGTCTTTGATTTGTTCTCTTTAACACGGCGACATTGACGGTGATCGATTTTCGTTGAGGAGATGAATCGTCCACGAAAGAAGAGAAAAAAACATAGAAGGCATTCTTGGGTGGAGGAGGGAGAAAGCTTGTTAAGGTTTTCAGAGGATGGCAAATCGGGCCTGAAAACTGAACAAAAAATGATTTAAATTCGAAGCCCAAAAATTTCATTGGTGACATGGCAAAAATCAGTAATCTTATTGGTCAATTATTTAGTCCGACGTGGACAGCTCCAAAAGGCTTTATTAAGAGCTTTTAATAGAGTATAGATTAACTGATTTTTTAATATTCACTTAATTAATTTTGCTTGAATATTTCGTTTTGTTATAACACTTGCTGAATTCATGGAATATATTAAACTCTTTAGTGAATTTGGTCAAAATAATTTATTGCACAATTCGGAACATTGACTAAATGCAAAAACAAAATTTGAGTTTTCAAGACGAAAAGCAATATAAATAGAGCCTTTTAAGATCAAAAGAACTAAGAACAACTTTCTAGCTATAAAGACTTCAAAGAAAAATATACTATGGATATCACAAAAACGTTGTTAACTTTTTGTCTCGCAATAACTTTAGTACTTTCGTTGTTAAATCAAAACGTTTTGACTTCAGGTATGTGTAGTTTTTTTGTTTTAACTTGTTTTTTCAGTTGGCTGTGATCTAATGGCAATAACTATGTATATATAAACTTTAGAACCGACAAAGATAATAGTTATTATGTGGGTTTGTAGGTGCAGAGATGGAGAAGGTCCAATATAAGTTTTGCGCTAAAAGTTTGTGTACAGACCTGTACTCACCACATATGTGCTTCATTGACTGTGTTTCTAAAGGGTTTGTAACTGGAGATTGCATTACCCCTCCTAATTCTCCGTTACGATGTTGTTGTGCTTAGATACAAACCCATCATCATCCAAGTGATTGAATATGTGACTGTTGCATTTATATTTGTCTGAGTATAACTTTGATTCATAATGAATCAAACGAAATAAAAAATTTCACCATAATGAATGTTTTTGATCAATCAACGTCAAAATATAAAATAACCCATTATGATATCTCTATATATTTTGAAGCATTAAAATATATTTTTGTAGCCACGCGTCATCACCAAAACTATTCTTAGAATTTTTAGAAAAATTAGTTGGTCCATATAAATATATATTATACTTTTTATTAAACTAACTATTAAAATAATTAGTAGTGTAAAAAATATATATTTTCTTTCTTTCAATAAAAGCTACGGGATTATTAACATATATATGCAATTAATGATTATGAATAATACATATTTTGTGTCATCTCTCTTTTTTATTTAATTTTACATTATTAAAATAAATTAAACAATCACATTAAATATATAATAAAAAATTATTTTTTCTTATATCTTATATTTTGAATTTTTTTAAAACGACCATAGATTACTAAAAATAATAAAAGTCCACATTGAAAATTTTATAATCAATGGTTTAACTTTATTTTTTTAAGCAAAATACAAATTATCATAAATCGTATGAATATAAAGTCTCATTAGTATATATTCATATTATATTATATATATATATATTAATATCACTTAAATAAAATTATATACTATATAAAATATATAAATATTTTAATTTAAAATTTTAAAATTTCAGTGAAAAAATGTTTAAAATCTTAATATTTTAGCTTGATTAGGTTAAGATATAAATATATATACAAGGTAGAAAATTAAATCACTTATGGAAAGTTAGTAGTAAACATATCGAGAGCAGAAAACCTAATATCTTTTTGTCATTTTATCGCAAAAAAATAATTTATTTTTATGCATATGAAGTCTTAAAAACAATTAAAAGAGCTATACTTTGTTTTTTTTCTAATCAAGATACAAATTATCATAAATCGTACATATATGAAATCTCATTAGTATATATTCATATTATATATATATATATATATATATCACTTAAATCAAATTATATACTATATAAAATATATGTTAATTTAAAAATTTCAGTGAAAAATGTTTAAAATCTTAATATTTTAGCTTGACTAGGTTAAGATATAAATATACAAAGTAAAAAATTAAATCACTTATGAAGAGTCAATAGTACTCTTCATAAGTGATTACTATTAACTAGTACTTATGAAGAGTAAATAGTAAATAGAATAGTTTTTTGATGTTAAAAAAAAAGAAAAAAAATGAAGAGTCAATAGTGAAAAAAATCGAGAGTAGAAACCTAATCTCAGTTTGTCATTTTACCACAAAAAATAATTTCTTTTTGTACATATGAAGTCTTAAAAATAATTTATTTTACCTTAAGCTGAAGTACATATCTAAATCTGAACAAAAAAAAAAAAGCAAATCTGGATTCAAGCCGTTATATAAAAATATCCGAACTGGACTTATGAACTTAGTACTTTGGATTTTGGTTATAATCTGAACCGAACCAAAATTTGAACTATAATATGTAGAATATGTTAATGTTTTTATATATGTTAAGATAATTTATATTTTATAGTATTCGAAATATTTTTCTAATTTTTGTTGTTGCTTTTTGTAATATCTTTTATAGATAGTTTAACTAATTTTCAATTAGATTTATGAATAATTTAAATATTTTGAATTTTTTTTTGTCAAATTTTGAGATTTAAAAATATATTTTGGGATGATTTCAGATATTGGTTACAATTTAATCTAAACTAAATTGAGAAGGAACCGAACCGAATATAATCCGATAATTAGTAAAATACGTCTCAACCAAACCAAAACAGACAAAGTCCCAAACGTACAGGCCTATGATAATTTAAGATACCAACATTTATATTTATCATTTTACACTCGATAATATTGTAGTGTTGCAAAATGTTAAAACCATTTAATGAACAAACTTTACTATAAAAAGTTCATCCCTTGCATGCGCAGAGGTTATCATCTAGTATATTATTAAAGTGTCTCATGCCTATTTGTATCCTTTTACTGTAATCTGATTACTGAAATTCTTTTTTTTGTCCACATCATTTTTCAAAATTAAAAGAAATGTACATTTGATCTCATTTTAAACTTATTTGATAGACTTGTATCAATAATGCATATATTTGTCGGAAATGACATGATTTTCTTTTTTTATGAAATATATTAAATTTATTGATCATCAAGGAGTATTATATACAAGCTAAAGAAAATTAAAACTCAATGGCTTAAAAAGAATATAAAAATTCCTATGTATTGTGTACTCGAGAGCTAAACTACGCATGACGCCATGGAGTAGTGCTGAGCTTTTGGATTTTCGGTTTAGATCAGTTCGGATTATTCGGATTTGGGTATTTAGGAACTGTTTAGGAACCGGGGATTTTTCGAATCGGATCGGTACGGTCAGCGTCGGGTCTGGGTCAGGTTTCTATTTGTTTTTTATAAAACCCAAAGTGGAACCGAATTAGAAATAATTTGGGTTTAGTTCAGGTTTAAGACCCAAAAACCAAAAATAAATCCGGAAAACCGAGAAACCCGGAAAAACCCAGAAAAATATTCGGGTTTTACGTATTTTTATTTAAAAATTACATTTTATATATACTAAATTAAAATAATAATAATTTATTATATTTAAAATATTCGGGTACCCGTTCGGTTTTCAATTCGATACTGGTTTGGTTTCAGTTTTTTGGGTTTAGAAAAATAGGAACCGTTCGGGTTTTAGTAATTTTTGGCCCGTTCGGTGGCGTTTTTTTGGTTCGGTTCCGGTTTGGTTTTTGGGTTTCGGATAATATGCCCAGGAGTACCATGGAGCCTTGGTTTATTGTGGTACCTTGTAGCCGAGATCGGATTCCGGACAGTTTTATCAATGATATATACGAACAAGCTGACTAACAGCTCTTAGAACTTGTTGATGCCTCCTTTCATTCCACTCCCTCCTCACTGGCACTTGAAAATCTAACCTCAATAAGATGGAGGAAAGATAATCTTGTGCTGTACTCATGAGTTGAATTATTGTATTCTCCCAATTCTAGACTCGCCTCCGTCATCAACAAAGAATCTGTGACATGTGGAGGGTCTTTCTCTCATCGCAAGCCAAGTTATGAAACTATATCGAGGAGTACCTTGTGAGAACCAAACCACGCTGCACCATCTTATCTCTTCCTTTTGGGTTCAAATTAGCTCCCAGGTAGGCCTTGAAGAGAATCTCTTATGATATTCGTTGGTAATGTGACTTTTTTTTGCATAGAGAATAAATATTATTATAAAATTTTATTTATATAAATTTATTAAAAAAAAGAAGTAAAAATGTATGCAAACTTTATGATAAAGTCACAAACAAAACATTTTTATTTTAGAGTTTTAAAAATTAAAATAACACATTTATCTCAAACACAAATTTACGTAGCTTAAACATAAATAATTTTAATTATTTTCTTGTTTCTGAATTGATATTGTATTTATTAAAATAACTACTGTCGAGAAAAATGTAACTTCACATCTACTAAAGTGTATTTTTTTTTTTTTTTTAAAAGATGATGTAATTTTCAAATTTCAACTATTAATAGAGTACTTTCAAATTATCCCTAATTGTAATGCATTTTTTAATTTCAAAAGTATTAAATTTTCAAACAAAGTCAAAAGACGAATACATATTTATAATGGACCATGTTTGTCATTCTACTCGAGTTTGGGTTTCGAATTAGCTTCTTACTATAGTTTAGGTTTTTAATAGTACTTTATTTTTCATATGTAGCACAATGGTTTTTTAGGTTCTCTTGTTAGAAACAGATGCATGGATGGAACCCCCGTTGGTGAGATGACGGTAAAATTACTTTGTTGTCAAATATTTTTACAAATTAAATGTGATAAGTCATTAATTAATTTTTTGAAATATTAGCCAAATATATCTTAAAAATAATAAGTAACAAAATGCAATGACTTGACTGATTAGGAGTCATATGAAACTTTTAATAAACCACCTCTTAAGTTATCACATAATGAATTCATAGCCAACATAAAACATTTGACCAACTTTTAATTAGGTAATGAGATACATATTAAACATTCGTAGTTTTCTTGTCAAAAGGCAAGATAATCAATTTGAGAACATATTCAATTACATTAAAAGTGATATCGATGTTTAACCTTTTAACAAATCTCATATCTGAATGACTTTAAACTTTAATTCAAAAGAAAGCAAACCTGCCACATACTCTCTCTGTTTCAAAAAATTAAATATTTTAGTTTTCTTACACATATTAAGAAAAAACATAAAAGTTTGATTACCAATTTATTATAGATAACAATTCCCTATATTTTTGAACCAATAGAGATTTAAAAACCACAATTATTTTTTTAAATCTACAATTTTTCATTAAATTATACATTGAAAATGTAAAATATACATCTTTTGAAACAAATATTTATTCGAGAATGTTAATCTTTTTGAAACCGAGGGAGTAGTTCCTAAAAAACATTTTAAAATTACTATTAAAATAATAGAAATATCTGATATTTAAGTTGTAACCAATGATACTGAGAAAATAAAATCGTTAGGTATGCAATAACATGATGATTGTTCAATATGTATATATAATCTAAAATATCAAATAAAATTAAAGTTTTAATTTACAATAACTATACAAGGTTTTATATTACGTCACTCATGGTTATAAAAGAACTGGTCTACTATTTTATATAGCTTTTAATATATTAAAATGTTTTTTTATTTTATAAATAACATAATTAACTTATTTATTTCTCAATTATAATACTGTGTAACAAAAATAAATTCACTGGAACATATTTCTAAATGTTTTTAACAACTAAAGCTATCAATATTATTTTTTTTTGTAAAGTAGTTTCAGTAATAATACTAAATTAAAATAAATTTTATTTACATGAATTAAAAATTATCTTTTTATTAAAAATAAAACATGCTTTTACTAATTAAATTTAAATACTTTAGTGTTAGCTGATGGAATTATATATAAAATGTATCTATATTCTAGGGTACGTATTTCTAAAAACATCAAAAATCTAATAACAAAACACACAAGAGCTAAATATTTAAATTTTAATAAATATCTAAGACAATGAAAGTACATCGAGCGAGTTTTAAGAACTGTCAAAATCTATACAGTTCAACTGAACTTACAAATCAAGTGAGTTTTAAGAAATGTAAAAAATATATGATGCTCTAACAAAATAAAAATGTACAAGTAAAATTCATTGAATTATATGTTCATTTAGATTATTTCAAATTTCAATGTATAATTAAATATATATATATATATATATATATCTATTATATATTTGAGTGTTTATTTCCTCCTGAAGTGGTCCACGTAGGCTCTACGTCAGTATATCCACATCCACGTGGACAGATCCCTTATTGTTGGGTTTTATTTCAATTTTCCAGGTCTAGTTACGTTTTACTCACCACCTAAAACTGTTGTCTGTTTTCTTCCCCACGGCAACTGTCGACTCTTTTGGTCTGGATCTTGAAGGAGAAGATGTTTTAAAGTCACTACAATTTGAACACGGTTACAGCCGTCTCGGCTCCTCCCTCCTCAGGGATCGAACCTTTCTCATGCTTCACTCCAAGCCGTCTGATCAAGGAAGCCTTATGTGTTTTGCTGGAGACGTCGGAAAAAACGGCCATCAGAGGAATCTTCTAGGTGTAGAAGTTCTCGCCAGAGAGGGAGAAACACCGGGAGGAACAGGGCGTGATTAGCCATATCTCAATTGTGTACAGGTTAATACCCGTTTCTAGGTTGCTTTGTTTCCATCTATGAAAGACTTTTATGTCGATGTCTGCTTAAAAAAACTCTTCATGTTCCTTAACCGGGTCTAACCCATATCCGTAAGTTCAAGGCCGACTTAATACTATTGGAGGCCCCTGGGCAAAAAAAATTTAGGGCCCCATGTTACTAAAAAAAAATTTTTAGGACCCTATATTACCTACAATTTTTTTAACCCTACGAATATTATTTTTTTAATATGTTATGGATATTAATAAAATTATTTTTATATACTAATATGTGTTTTTTATTTGAGTTTTTTATTAAATTATGTATTCATGTCTTATAATTTATATAATTTTAAATTTAATAAAATATATATCGATAAAAGTAAAAAAAAATTAAAATGGAGTGGGCCCGGGGCGGTCGCACTTACCCCCCCCCCCCCTTGCTAAGCCGGCCCTGTGTAAGTTTTTGAGTTGGGTTTGAGTCAGTTTGGGTACTTGAGCTAATTGTTTATCGAAGCGATGCAAAAAGCCAATGAAATTGAGTCTGAAATCTTGTGGAACCATTGGAGAGAAACATAATTCTTCTGTTTGTGTCTCTAGATTTCTTGAAGAGACTGAGCTTGGGACATGTAGAAGTTTATTGTTGATAAAGAAAAGAAGTACCTTTGATGTGGTTCGGCTGAAAGTTTCAGAGATGAGACAAACAAGTGATGACAACAGCTTCGATGTGCATACATCATATTGCCACAATGGGACATGACATGAACCGGGTATGCTATCTAAACCAAACCTTGAGAGAAAACCCGATCTTTGTGTATTTATTTTAAAGTGATTTCCTGTTTAGTTGATGCAACTGTTGCGTGAAAAAGATGCCTAGCTGAGCTGCGGCAAATGCCATGTCAAGGTGGGTCAGTGGTCGTGAACGCATGCAATCTTCAGGATGACACCACCACTTCATACCTCAACGAACTCATCTGCCACAGGTAACTCCCAATGGTGTGAGTAGAAACAATCAACCTGCTTATCTTAAATCCCTGTTAAGCAACCTGATAATGGTAGAACCGAGGGTTTCAAGATTGCTATCAAGGCGAGACCCAAGAGAGGGATCTGGCTCTTGAGGTAGCGGATCAGGAGTGCAGCAGAATCTTCAGAGAATTGTTGAGGAGAGGAAAGAAGAGTATGATAAAGCTAGAGCTTTGATCTTTAACAGCCTTGGTAGCTCCGACTCTGAAGATTCTTCATCATTACGGGCTCCTCCTCCTCCTGCTCCTGAAGTGAGAAACACAAGTATAAACCGCAATGAGGCTGAGGTGGCGGTCAGTAATAGTTCTGTTGATGCTGGTACTCGAACAGTAGCCATTATCATAGATAGAGAGAAAGATCGATTAGATCCGGATTATGACCGGGAGCTATGACAGGTATGTTGTGGATCCCGCATACAGTTACACTTTCTTTCATCTCTTATTAAACTTCTGACATTCATTCAACGACACTAATCTCTTCTGCAAACTGTAATATTTTTGTTCTTGTGGGCTGATGTTTTTAGGTAAGTCAGGGTTATGCCGTCTGATAACTAATATGCTTATGCCCCTTCGACTGAGTTTTTCTTCTTATTTTTCACATTGGTCGCTTCTTTTATTTCCTCAACCAGGTGGTGAATATCACCAAGATGCGCATCTATGTTGTTCTACTGATTTTTGTTAGTCTCAACTCCGAAGAAGTTGTCCAATATAAGCGTAAAAGCCTAGTAGACAAATAGACTCAGATTAAAACGAAGTGTTAAACACATGAACTTTTGTATCAACAAGCTATGTTTCTTTATGATCCTCAACACTTTTTACGTTTTCTTTTCTTTCTTTGTGTTATTCTGAGCTAAATATAATTTTAGTTTAGTTTTGTACCTGGTTCAGATAAAATGTTTCAGTTATGAAGTATGAAGACATTACCTTACTCATAAATTGATGAAACATTTTGGTTGGTGGTGTGTACCACTTAAACAAATTAGCATAAACACTATTAAACCAAAATAAAATAAAATAAGCTATGTTCATAACTTTTGATTACGCTAAGTAAAATCGCGGTAAAAAGTGAATTTATTAAAAAGGTGTTATTAAATCTATCAATGGTATACCATTACATTTTTTTTTCCATCTTTTATTTCTAAGTTATACCCACTTAGTTTGTGTAATGATCAATTTTAGATTTGAGCATCACCAATCGATGCATGTGAGGACCTCCTACATTTTAAAAGTTCCCTAATTTGCTTCTCAGTTTTTCAAATCTATTCTTAAATTGTTTAATAATTGACTCAAGGATCTAAAACAATAACGGGATATGTTTCTACTCTGAGATAGAAACAATATTGCAAGGTTTGGTTATTTTTAATTTAAAGAAACAAAAACAAAACAAAAAAAATAATAGGAATCAAAATTATATAATGTCACGATAGAAAAAAAATATCAAATAGTAACAAAACAAAAAAAGTTATAAACTTAAAATATATAAGTTTAGAGAATTCCTTACAACAACTAAAAAAATAAAAAAAATAAAAACATTCACTTCGCAGACTAAATTCGCAGACTAAAGATCCATATCTTTCAAAACCCAACACTGTAAAGACACTTTTAAAAGTCTAGAAAGTGTTCTTAGAAAATAATGCGACACTGATTCTCTATCTCCAATTGTTTTCTATATAAACTGCACATATGAAGTCGACTGTTATTATATAAAATAAATCACGTTTTCAATCAAACAATCTCAATAACAACACCTGGAATTCTTATTACAGTAGTCTTACGCCAAATAACTTTTTCATGGACAAATTTCTTTAAACAAATAATATTTCCAATCATTACTTCCAAAATTCCAAATGATACTCCAACAAATTTTAACCGAAAACCTTACTATACCCAGCCAAAAATATAACAAAACACAAATAATCCACCAATTATGGGTTCAAAATTATAAAAAAACAAACAACAAAATACCATTTAAACCTCATACAACGTCTTATATGTTATACGCCACAACATTTAACTCCCTCCATTTCTTTTTATATGATATTTTGGTTTAGTGCAAAAAAATAAAGAAATATATAGTCTTTTAAAAAATATTTTGAAAAATATAATTTTATAATCATTTAAGTAATTATAAAAAAATATGTAAAATTTATTAGTTGAATAGTTTCCAATAAAATTAATATTAGTTATAAAACATCAAATCATCATATATTTTGAAACAGATAAATCTTTTTAAACATCATATAATTTGAAACGGAAAGAAAAACATAGAAACAACCTTTGTAATCAAACATAATAAATCTTATCATATATAATACCTCTTCACCAAAATGTTCTTAAAAGCAAAAACATGTTTTCTATACACTTTTCTGCAAATCCAAACCAAAGACACAAACAACGAAAGGATACAAAGATAAAAGTATCTATATCACACGTAAAGCATATTCCGCGCGTAGCGCGTACCGGCTCTAGTTATATATATCATGGTGATACTTTGTCTAGTTTGAATATGTACATTAATAGTGATTATGTTTTAACAAAGATTAATAATAACTACAAGATCGATCAAGAACCTATTAAAGTGTATGTATAACTTATAGTTATATAAACTTTCAGACTAGTAGTAAATGTAAATCTATGGTACTAACATATCTAGTTTAAACTTGTATATAATTAATGATACTTTTTGACAAACAAATTGTACTATTTAAAACTAGTCAAATGTGTATATATATATATATTAATAAAATTAAAATTACGATGGTATTGTATCAAATTTAATGTCAAATAACATCAACTAGATATATTGATGTTCAGTTTATAGTGATAATTATCAAAAAAAATATAACTAAATGATTTACACTAAACAGTTATTTTAAAATATGATTTAATTCGGTTTTAGAAATATTAGTTCAATCTTTCTATAATTAATTTCTTTTTTTATATATAAAAACTAAACTCAATCACGCTTACAAAACTAAGATATTCATAATATCATTCAAACATATTCAAGTTTTCTGATTTATTTTTAGCTAATTTTCTTGGTAATAAAAATACAAACAAAAAAATAAGAGCTTTGTTTGCATAAGAGATTTTTAATTCTATTGTTCTGGTTTTATAAAAGATGCATATCTCGATTGTTTTTACTTATTTTTTCTATTGTTTTTGGTTTTATGAAAAATGCATATCTTGGTTTAGTTTTAGTAGTTTTCCGGTATAGTTTTAGTAAAACCGAACCGGGATATACGCTCCTCCTAAAACCAAAAACGATAGATTAGGTAATCAAAAATCTCTTCATGCATTTTGACACATGGATGATGTAAGTTTGACCGTATAAATTATTACCAAAACGCAAATGATTATATATGGCTAGTCGACAAAAAAAAATATTATGCATTTTATTTTATTATTTAAGAACACCATCAAATCCCTCAAAAAAAAAATCCCTCCTATTCATCTAATCCATCTCTCCTCCTGTGTGGTCTTCTTCTTCTCAGACTAGCTTTCACTCTCCGAATAAAAAGGTTATACGTTGTTTCTGTCAATATTTTTCATAAATTTGATATCAGATTTCGTTTTGACTCTCTTTGTTTTGTGTGTGTTTCTTGACATCTCTCCATATAAAAAAGATGAGTGATTATGGTGATGGAAACTTCATGGAAATGGTGTCAAATTGGACTTCACTTCCTAGTCCTACCATAAAAGAGATGTTTACGATGCTGGACCAAACAGATAATGGTCTAAATCCAATCAGCGACGTCTTCCTTCAAAATAATCAGTCTAAACAAAGATCCAGTCTCGTCGACAGAGTTTCTGCAAGAATAGGACGAAAAATTCCACCGCTCAGGACAGAGAACATGACTCCATTTTCTGCTCTATTCAGGAACCCAACAACTGTTCCTTTACACAACGAAATCTCTCCAGGATTCAGCCCATCTGTACTGTTGCAGTCTCCAAATGACTTCTCTTATTCTTCTTCACAGGTAAGTAACATGTTTTTATATGTTTCTGATTGTTTTATAATGCCTGATATATTATCATATGCTAGATATATGAACATAAAATATTTAGGAACAATTGCACGTATGTTCGATGAAGTGTAACAACAAAAAATCTTATATCCTTTTGTTCACGCATCACATACCTATTTGCTTAAAGAATTTTTAAACAATTAATGTTTCCATAATTTTATATTTTTATTCTCTGTCCCAATATATGTTCCACGTTATGTAAAATGTTTTGATCTTTTTTGTTCTAATTAATATTTTGCGATATAATTTGCTATTAATTATATTTTAGTTAAAATGCTAATAACATTTTCTTTTAAAAAAAAGTGAAACATTTATGAGTTTTCAGTTCCCGCATTTTTAATCAAAACATATTATAAAATGGGACACATGGAGTGATTACGAACTCTATGTATGAATGATAAAGTTCTAGTTTCTTTAGAAACCCTAACTGTTATTGTCTTTGTACCTTATTTTGCCAGCCTATCCCTCCATTTTCATTACCCAATAATGGGCCTCCAGAGACTCTGGAAAATGCTGGTGACGACCATGCAACGATGATGATATTCAACAACAGTGTTCCTCCGATGCAATTTGACCAGCCTCCTCAAGAAGGTAATATATAGAGTTGCTTGTGTCTCAAATCTGCTTCCATTTCTTTATTTTCCGAGTGTTTTAATAAGTTTTCTTTTTCTTATACATGTGTATCAGGCTCTTATGTTATTCCAACTGAAAATTCCGTTTCCATCCCATCTCATGTTGATCCAATTGGTGCTCCTTTAGTCCCTTCTTTTGAATCTGAGGTAATTGATGACACTGATATCATCAAGCTCATGTCCATGGAGGATAAGAGCAACAGCGAGGACGAGGACAAAGAATACAGCAAAGATGAGGATACATATACAAATGAAGACAATGCTGATGAGCTAGAAGTCAAACCTTCATCTCCAGAGAGAAGGTCCCCAATTTAACATCTTATAAATCAATAGTACTAAGTTTAACATCAAGTTAATTACATTAACATAAACTACATAATTCTCTAGCAGGAAATATGAGGTATCAAACATGATGGCAGCCACAAGGGCAACCAAGGACCGAATCTTCACACTTCGTGTGAAGACTGAAGAAAACCATCCTTCTGATGGCTATCGCTGGAGAAAATACGGTCAGAAAGTTGTCAAAGGGAATCCAAATCCAAGGTAACTTTCACCATGTTCTTCCGTCTTTTATTTTCTTCAAGCATTTAACTATTTGTTTACAGCCTAAACAATATTCAATGTTAGCATGGGTCACTTGTACTTTCAGCTCAAATATTTGATATGTGGTGTGGTTGTGAGAAACTCCTTAGCAAGACACTTGCTCACTCCAACTAGAGACACTCATCAGATGCTAAATCTAAGAATAAAATTTTGGTATAAATGATAATTGCAGGAGTTACTACAGATGCACACACATAGGGTGCAATGTGAAGAAGCATGTGGAGAGAGAAGCAGCCGATGTGAAAATATTGTTGACTACATACACTGGGAAACACGGACACCCTGAACCACCTAAACGCAGTAGCAGCAGTTCTGGTCCAAGGAATCGTTCCCGTTCATCAGTGCCTGCTCGTTTAGGCATACCTCTTTTTTCTTCCTCCTCATCCGCTCAAGACATGAGGCCTTTCCCTTATCCTTCTGCTTCGGCCGCTCAAGACATGAGGCCTTACTTATATCCTTTTGCTTCGGCCCCTCAAGACGAGAGGCCTTTCCCTTATCCTTCTGCCTCGGCCGCTCAAGACATGAGGCCTTACCCTTATAATCCTTATGCTTCGGCCGCTCAAGACATAAGGCCTTACCCTTATAATCCTTATGCTTCGGCCGCTCAAGAAATAAGGCCTTACCCTTATCCTTATGCTTTGGCCTCTCAAGACATGAGGCAGTTCCCTTCTTCGTTGAACCCAGGAATTGATATGACTCATATCTCTATGAGTGGACTCTCCAAGCTGCCGAATTTTCTATATGAGTGGAATCAAGGTTTTATGGGCTAGAATGGTGAACCGAAGGCTGATCATGTGATACCGGGTGGTACAGGGGACTACAAGGAGATCATGCATCGTCTATTTACCTAACGATGGTGTTAAACGTTAGATCGTAAACCATCAACAAACCAGAGAAAAAAAACCTTTATTTTATATTGTAAACCTTTCCTTTAGTCCCTTTTCAGCATTGGCAAACAATAATATACAAGATATGCAAAAACTTGTACTCATCAGTTCAATTATTATTTGTAATGCATATTTCGCTTTGAGTTTATCTATATTATTTATAACTATATTTTAATCTGCACTTTTAAAGAGCGGATATTGTTTTACTATTTTAACAAAATTCAATCATATTTATATCTTTTTTTAGAAAATAAATAATTTAAAATTGTTTAAATAGTGTTGCAAAAAATTATTTTATTATAATGTATGCTTTTCAAGCAGTGTCTTCAAATATGATCTAGATCTGTGGTTGAATCGATATACCCGAAGACTTGTGTATAATCCAGTTCGGTTAATGAAAAGTTGTAAAAAAAAATATTCAATAAAACCAGATAAAAATCTAAAAACCCGTGATCCGATATCGGTTGATCCATTAGAAATCCAAAAAAAATCTAATAATATTTTCTGAAAATTTTGATTGAATAGCTCTTACTTTTTAGACTATTACTATGTCACTTGAAGAAAATGAAGCAATAACTATAGGAAAAAAAAAAAGCAAAACTTATTGATATGAAACTATTAATTTATTTTTATTATTAATAACATATGATAAGTTTGTATTTTTCTTTATTTTAGATCTAAAGTTTAATTTTATGATAAGTTTTAAAATATTATTGAACACTCAAAATTAGCATATTAATATTATGTATAAAATGATATAGTAAATATTAAAAGAAAAATCATGTATATACTCATATTCAATCGTTTAATAATACTATTTAAAAAATCATATTCAAATTAAACGGAAGATATAAGTTACATAAAAATGAGAATTATTATTATCCAAGAAAATTTGAAAACTATTAGTTAACATAATTATAGAGAATATTTCATTCTTTAGTTTAAATAAATATATTTATTTATATTAAAATTAAATGGTAATGGCATTACTTCCTACTGTATTAATTGATAAGTCAACTTAGTTATTTTTGTTTAGGTGACACTCATAGGTGAAAATTAGAATTAATTCTTTTAATTTGATTAGTTGTTGATATTTGAATTTTCATTTATTTAAATCAAGTTTTTAAAAGAAAACAAATCATATAATTACCTAATATAATATATGTTACCAAATAAACAATCAAACATCTTAAATTAAAATGCATTGACATTATTTTTTTTGTTGAAACAATCGATTATCATAGATTACATTATATAAATTTATAATATAAATATAAATACATATGTTACTACATAAACAATTATATAAACGATTTTAAAACTATTATATTTATAGTCGATACAAAAATCATCGATTGCAGATAACTAATAAATAAAAACTTAATAATACTTCTAATCATTATATATTGTACATATATTATAAATATGTGTCAGATGAATGCAAAACAGTCAAATATATAATTTTTCAAAATTTCAATCATTGTAATTGACAATGTAATATTATATTATCACTTTTTAAATGATTAGATTATTTTTATAATTAAAATATCATATTTTCCTATATTAATTAAGAATTAATATTAGTGTTTTTTCTGATGTGTCAATTGTTAGATAGCTCTTCAATTAATTATTTTAATTTGACTGATTGATGGTTTTTTTAATTTATTTTTAAAATAATAAATCAAGAATTAGCTTATATCTAAGCAAAAAATCATATTTACCAATAATGATTGTCACAAATATGCATTTAAGGAAATCATGTCATCAATTTTTGGATTTGTGTCATAAAGTATATAGTGTATTTAATTAAATAAATGGTTTACGAAAATAGAGATTTGAACATTTTCCTTGCATATTTTATTAATAATGATAAAATATAATTTGTGATTAGTGATTTTATTTTGTATTATATAGATAATAATATACATATAAAAATTATGTATACTATAATTTAAAATAAAAATAAAATTAATTTTACATAACAAGCATATTTAAGTTTTTCAATTAAACTCGTAAATTATTTCACATTTTAATAAATTCTTTACAAAAAAAAGTTTAAAAATATCTTTGTATGTTATATAAATATATAATTAAAAATAAAATACAATTACTCATATTTTTCATTAGTTTTCTATTGCATATAAAACGATATACAAAAATATGTATATATAAAGTAAATTTTAAACGTATTCTACATATAAAAAAACAAATTAAAGTTACTTTTTAATCAACAAACTCCGTAAAAACTATATCAATTGTAAAATGGATAAATAATTTTGTGCATATTTAAAAACAATTTATGAAACTTTGTAAAAAAAAATTATTTTCCACGTTATAGAGATAACTAAAAATAAACTAAATTAATAACTAATAGAATAAGCATTTATTTTTTACTTACAAGAAATATCAATAAGAGATGTGTGTCTAATTGTTTTCATTTATCAGAATCATTTAATTAAAACTAGATTTTAACCCTCGCAACCGCGCGGATTTTGTTTTTATTTTTATATACATAAATATTTATTTTATATTATTAGTGATGTTTGGCATATGTTTAAATTGATAAAACTATTAAAAACATAATAATTTTATAATTCACATGTTAATAACAATTGTTTCAATATTTTCTTATTATATATTTATCATCTTGGATTTGCATTTGATTATTAAATAAACTAATATATGCATAAACATCATGTTTGAAAATTTATTTATATTTAATTTATAGTAAATTAGCCATTTTATGTTTATTTAGATATTATAGTATTGTATCTATAAAAGTTTATATGTTAACTTTATACATGTGTTATATAATTACTAATGTTAACATGTTCTGCCAACATATTATATTTTTAGTGTTAATATTTTCTATTTATGAAAATAAATTAGATTAATTTATCCATTTAATACAGTTTTACTATAATAATCTCTTTTAATTTGATACAGTATGATTTTATAAAATATAAAAATAAAAAGGATAGTATTTTTTTTTTTACAAAATATAACTAATAGATATGTATTAATGTATAACTATATTCTTTACTAATTCGAAAGTGAAAAATTTAAATATTTTTTTTAAAAGTTAAGATCTTGTTAAATCTTTTTCAACTGAGATTTTGTAATTTTGAATATATATCTAATCTATTAAAACAAAGTCCTATATTTTCTCTACTTATCAATGTTGTCATTTAAGTTTTGGATTTATTCATATCACATTAGAATATATATATAATAATACATTTAAAATATGAGATCTTTTCTTAAATTCTATTAATTTACTTTCAATATTACAAATGCTCTTACTTTTATGACTAACAACATTAATCAGTTTTATTATCATTACATATAATTAAATTTATATATAACTTTCATTTTAGTTTATAAATGAAAAATAAATTATTATAACCTCTAATTATACTTTAGGATAATTAGTATTTAATTAATAAATTTTCGAAAAAAAATTTTAAAATATTCTGAAAAGAAATTGCAACGGGCTTTGTTAGAATATTTTAAAAATATTCATTTGTATTTTAAATAAAAAATAAAGATGTTAAAAGATATTCTAATTAAATTGGGTAAAATTTCACATAATTTTGACAAATATTTCAAACAAAAAACCAAAATAACAAAACACAAACCAACCCCAATTAATAAATAACCAAAATATTAATATATTTTAAGTACCAAAAACAAATATTTACAAGCAAACCGAAATCCAACTGAAAATCAATAAATATAATCTAGCATGGACCAAGTTTAACAAAATATCATCAAGCCTTTAATTGTAATTTAAGTAAATTATAAATAATTCCGCGCAACTTCGCGGATCAAAATCTAGTTATACTTAAAAGATAAATATATCAAAATTATTATGATTAAATTAGTTACAAATATTTTATTATTAGATTTAATAAAATACATATAGTAAAAAATTTAGTGATAATCCATTTTTAAAAAAAAATCGCACATGCATCAAGGTTATGACTTCTGTTTTAATATATAAGATTGCTCTGTTTTAAAATTTTCTACCATCTAGAATTAATTTATATCATAATATAAAACTTTTTTATTATCTATTAAATACAAACTCTATTACTATGGATGCATATTAATGTATAAATTAATATAAAATAAATCTTATATGAAAATTATTATTAGAAATTTACTAAACTAATGGGAATCAACATATAGAAAGTTTTGTTTCTTTTTCATAATCTTTATATATACTTTAGTTTCAAATGTGGATTTATTTGTCACATCATTCATATTATTAGATTTTAATAAATTTTAGATGGATAACTTAATCAACAAACCAATTAATATATATATATATATATATATATATATATATGATCTGGATGTGAATGTTAAAAATAAACTTACATTCGTAATCAATTAAAATCCTAATCAGCCATATATAGTTCTTGATAAAAAAAATTAATGAAATATTAAAAATACTGTTGATACTTTAAAAATTAACCAAATAACTAAACTAAATAAATATCTAAAATCTGTTTATTTAGAAAATATATAGCAAAATTTCACATTCAGTTTGAAAAACTAAAAACATATTATATCATACCAAAAATATAATAATATTACATTATATTTTAAAATTATTCTAAAATTTGCAGACAATTTGTGAATAAAAGCAAAAACAAAATCATACGAGAGATTATAGATCCGGATAAACCATATGAAATCAAACCGCCGTCGATGTCTACTATTGGATTAATCCAATTTAAACGGAAAGGAACATTAAACCGTGAATTTGGATTAAAAGAGCACAAACCGGGTTTTACCAGGTTGTCTACTTTTTAGTAGTAAACCGGTGGTTAAAAATTGGTAAGGATATGATTAAATCTGCGTCCAAACACCCCTCG